AGTGGAGCATACATAACACACATATTCATATATCATTCATATATGTATATATTTAATTTCATGAATATTTATTGAACACTTCTAGGTGTCAGGTAGTTTTGAAAATTTGCTGAATATTTGCTTCTTGCCTGTTTTCCTTTAGGGTTAAATTCTGGACAAAACTCAGTGTTGTAGGGAGAGGGCCCACTTGTTCATCCTGGCCACCTGGCTAGCTTAGCCCTGAAATAATCACACAGACACTGTATTAATTAAAACACTGCGTAGCCCATTTGCTCTAGCCTCTTATAGGCTAACTCTCACATCATGATTTAACCCATTTCTATTAATCTGTATATCGCCACGTGGCAGTGGCTTACTGGGAAAGATTCAGCATGTCTTATCTTTGGTAGCAGATCCATGGCATCTCTCCTACTCCGCCTTTCTTTCTCCCAGCATTCAGTTCTGTCTTCCCCGCCTGCCAAGTTCTGCCCTATCAACTAGACAAAGGCAGTTTCTTTATTCATTAACCAATGAAAGCAACACACAAACAGAAGGACCTCCTACACCAACTCAGTTCATTATATTGTTTTTGTAGAAGCCCTGCTCATGGTGCCAGTCTTATTCGTTTTTTTTTTTAATTTAGTCTCCCTCCCTCCCTCCCTCCCTCCCTCCCTCCCTCCCTCCCTCCCCCCTCTCTCCCATCAGAGTTACTTTGTGTTGCTGGGACAAAAACCCTGATGGAAGCGAGTTGCAGAAGGGAGGGCTGATTTTGCTTTGCATTGCAGAGGGTCCAGTCTGTCATGACAGGGAAGGCCTGGCAGCAGGAGTGCAGGCAGTGATTTGTTCACAGGCAGCGGACAGGAAGCAGACAAGGCAGGTTGGAAGCCAGTGGCCTGTACCTCCAGAGACCTGCACTTAGGGACCTACTTCTGACAGCAGGGCGTACTCCCTGAAGGCTCCCTCCACAGCTTTCAAAATAGAAGCATAAGCTGGGAACCTAGCATTTAAAGCATGAATTTGTGGCAACAGACCAAACTCCAACCATAACAGGTGTCTATGTATTGCAAGGATGAACAGGAATGGGTTAGATTGAAAGGCCATGATCCCTGGGTACCACCTCAGAGGGTCTTCTGCAGAGAAAGAAATGTTTAAAATAATCGTTTTCTTACAGATATGACCATGGTTTATTAATCACTGCTGTCCTGCTAGGAATTTACATTGCTTATAAGTTTACAGTCATGGAGTGCTGCCACACCCTGCCCAGCATTTAGTGTTATATTTAAAGAACAGAAGCATTTCTGATGCAATATCAAGAGTGCTTATTCACTAAAAATAAAGGGATTATGGTGAAAAGAAAGTTCAAGGCAGACCACTCAAGATTTTTGCTATTCCAGACCAGAGAGCACTAACAAAAGCATAATTGGTACCTTATGAGGTAAGGTGGGTCGCCCAGTCAAACCACTTACTGTGGCTCAGGCTGCCTGAGAGCAGAGGAAAGCTATTAAAGTGTGAGAGGATGGAAATTGCAGGCCTCGCGGTTGTGAGCCGTGAGCCTGCCCTAGGGATTGTATAGGGGAAGTGCAGCTTGCTCTGTCAGGAACCACGCACAGGTCAGTCTGTGCCCCTTGGAGAGAGAGCCCGTGTGCATGTAGTCACCTTTAATATTCTTGAAATGGAGCGGAAAGAGCCATTTGGTGGGAGCTGAGTTTTTTTGCGGGCCATTGCTACTGAAAGAGAGTTCTCTTCCTGTACCAACCCCTTTGCTGTTTTGTCAGAAGAAGAGCTCCTTATTTCCCTGGGAAAGTTTTTGATGTTGAAATTTGGAAATTGATTACTTATATATAACCAATTTTTTAAAAATTATTTGCTTGTGCTATCCTATTTGTGATTAGTAATTAGTTTTGAGATTAAAAAGAGGTAAAAATCTTTGAGTGTTGTCTTTTACTCCTCTCAGAAAATTTAGGTAAACTTATATAAAATGAAATACATTGGCTTTATGTGTTCAGTAGATCAGTAGATTGATCTTTAAGAAATGCAGAGGATGTAGCTCAGTGGTAGAGCACTTGCTAGGCTGTGGAAGGCCCTGAGCCCAACCTCTAGCTCTAGCAGCAGCACCAAAACACCAACCCCCTCACCCCTACCTTGGCACTGGAGAGGTGATTCAGTTGTTAAGAGCACTTAAAATTCTTGCAGAGCTCCCATGTCAGAAGACTAACAACTGTCTATAACTCTAGCTCCAGGGGCCCCAACACCCTCTCCTGGATTCTGCAAGTACCTGCATTGACATGTGCACACACTCCTCCTAACCCCCAAAGTTAAAAACAAAATAAATTATGTATATACACGTTTGTGACCTAGACTCAAGGCAAGATATTGAACATTGCCATTACCACAGGAAGTTCCTTGTAATCCCCCTGCCTCCTATCCTTCTTTCTAGATGGCCATGGTTGAGTTTTATCACTATGAACTACTGTTGTATGCTCTAGAAGTTTGATCTAACTGGTTGATATTCTCATGTGTCAAGTTTCTTTGAATCTGAGAAGTCCATCCTTGTTACAAAGTCTGGTTTTTATTGTAGAGCAGTATTCCATTGTTGAATGTTAACAGTTGGAATCAAGTTCAGACATTTGCATTGTTTCCACCTCTGCTTATTAGGAATAAAAGGCCTATGAACATCTGTGCACAAGTGTTTTGTGGATACAGTGTTTTAATTTCCTTTGCATAATTACCTCAGTTGGAATTGATGGTCACAGAGTAGGTGTGTTTTTCATTTATAAGCTTTTCAAAGCAGTTGAGTGTTTTTTGTTTTTTGTTATTTTTTTTTTTCATGCTTGCCAGCCAGCATTGCCAGAATCAATTGTAGTTATTCTCTTGGGTGCTAATGGTTTTCATTTTCCTTCTAACCTTTGTTTTTCTGAAGATTAATGATGTGTTTTAGCACCTCTTCACATTTCCATGGCTCCGTGTATATCTTACTGTGAAATGCACAGTATTGAATTTATTGTTATACCATTCTTAAAAGTTTTTTTTATATTTTTAATCTCCATAAGATTTGTAGTGATATTTCTTTCTATTTCTAATATTGGTAATAGCATTTTGTATTTTTAAAAAAATCTGTCTTCTAAAGACTAGAACTATCTTCAAAGAGTTATTTTTGGCTTTATCTTTATAATTAATTTTTTTGTTGTTATGTTTGACCAGAGAAGGCAGGCTACATGATATTTATGTTATTGTTAAGAGTTTTAAGAAATTTATACAGTCTTAGTTTATGATTAATCTTAGTTTATGATATAATCTTTTTATATTTATAACTGTTCAAGTCACGAGTCCACCCTTTAGGTTCTGGAAGGATATTAGTCTGTGGCTGTGAATTGTCTGTCTTCTCTCTTGGCTATATATATCTTGTTTGTTGCAGTACAGTATCTTTTTTAGCTTTTGTGTATAGAGAATGCCATTGTAAGTTTTATTAACTAATGACTGAGTTGTTTCACCTGAAGTTCTAATTGTGTGCTGTCACTTCTGCTTCATTTGTTTTTTTTTTCCTTTTTCTTGACATATATTTCTGAACTTTGTTTTAGTCCTGTTTTTATAAATCTTCCTATACTAGCATATCTCAGGCTTAAGTGAGTTTTTGTAAACATTTTATTATTTTTATGTGCATAGGTGTTTTATCTGCTTGAGAGTCTGTGCACTGGATGTGTGCAGTGCCCACAGAGGCCAGAGAGGGCACTAGACCTCTGGGAATGAAGTAATGGACTGTTGTGAGCTGCCATGTGGGTGTAATTAGACTCAGGTCCATTGAAAGAGCAATCGTGCTCTTAACTGCCAAGCCACCTCTCCAGCCCCTTAAATGAATTTAAACCACATATTACTGTGGTTATTGGTGTTGTCTTTGAATTCATATTCCTTTTCCATTCAACCCCTATATCTTCCTGCTGTCTTTGTCCCGCACCACCAGCCCCCACTTTATGTTCCTTAGCATTACCTGTCCTGTCAGCAGGGAGAGCCTTCTGCACAGACTTCCAGCTTCTCCCATTGTATTCCCATGCAGGATGCATAAAACAGTGCTGCCCAAGTCTCATTTTTGACTTAAAGGTATTATCAGATCTGAGTCAAATGAAGTCAAATGAAGAAGCAACGCTGACAGGTGAACTGTCTGTGGCGGAGTCGTGCTTTCTCTGTGTGATTGGGAGGTCTGAGGTGTCAGTTTGACCTCTTTCTTACCACCCTTGGGTTTCAGACCTGCCGTGCACACTCAGGAAATGTGTGATTTCAACTTCAGTTTGTCCTTCCTGAGCACTGGGAACATCTGGACTAAACTTTAACAGCAAATCAATTTATAGGACATTATTCTGCCATGATTCTTTTCAGTTCTTTGATTCTTTGCCTGTCTCTAACACTTGCTAATACCGCCCTCTTTTGTCAACAGTGCCCAGACCTCAAGTTCACTGTCTTGATAGCACCAGTAATTACTGTTATTTTATTTTCCTTGTAACTTCTTTCTTCTTCTTCCTTCCTCCCTCCCTCTCTCCCTTCCTTCCTTTCTTTTAACCTCTTGTATTTCTCCCCCACAGGAAGTTGATTTTCCACTGAAGGTAGTGGTGTAAAAGTTTTCTTCAGGGGCTGGAGAGATAGGTGACTTAGCTCAGACTCAAGCGGTGGTGGCTCATAAGCTTCCGTAGCTCCAGTGCAGGCAGTCTCCCTCCCTCTCGAGTCTTTCTAAGTCTGGGTCAACATTGAAGGAGGAGGAGTTTTTCCTTTTTGTCGCTCCTCCGAGAGGCACCATATTCAGAAGATACAAGTGGCTGCAGGTGGTCCTGGCATGGCTGTCTCAGAAGGACAGCTACTTTTTGGGTGCCGGTTTCTCTGTGATGCTACAGCCTCCTGCTTCGTGAGGCTGCTCATATGTCAGCTGTCTGCGGTGCACACTTTGCATCAGCGTTCTCTCTCTGCACTGCACTAGTGTTTGTGATACGCTGAAGACATTGGATGCTTAACTATTTTTCCATTTTTTTTTCTAGGTCTTGACGCAGAACTTTACTATGTGAGAAATGATCTTATTAGTCACTACGCTCTGTCCTTTAACCTGCTAGTGCCCAGTGAGACAAACTTCCTGCACTTCACTTGGCATGCAAAGTCCAAGGTAAGAGCTGCTGGCAGACAGCTTGACAGGGACTGCCCCTAAGGATGGGCCTTCCTCTCCACAGAAGGGTGAGCGGTGGTGCACCGAGGAGCACTGGGATTTTTCAGGTTATGTCTTACAGATAGAGTCTTGAGCCTGTTCTGCTAAAACGTCAGGTTTAGGTGACCACAAGGTGGATGATCATCGCCTATGATTGGGTCCTTGCAGGCCTTTCCAGTGGGATCTGATTCTAACTTGGGAAGAGAACAGTTGGATTTGATGATGACCCTGCTGTTAAGGAGAAGCCGTATATGGTTGGAGGATGGGTGTGGGTGTGTGGGGAGAAGCATTGCTGAGCTGGTTCTTCCAGACACTTGTTGATTGAATACAGTTTTCATATTCACAGTGAAAGAAAGGTGCAGCATTGGCAGCTTCCTGCGTGTACCGTGCTGAGCCCCAGTAACCTTAGAGGCTGAACGTGGGGACTTAGCAACTTCTTGTCTGGTTTATTCATTGGTGGTTTCTTCACATCTCTGACTGCCTAGGCTACTCCAGCCCAAGAAATCTTACATCCTCATTTCACAGATTTGCCAAGTGAAACTGTTTGTATTATTTGCTCCCTGCTCCCTGCTTGTGTTTGCCCTTGAACTATTTGAAAGTTCATTGAAAGCATTGCCTTCCTGACTCCTGAATGCCTTAGTCTGCAGGACACTGGTGTGATTTACACAATCAAGTACAGTTTCCAGAATCAGGAAGTTTAATGCAGTTCATCGTTATCCCCAGCGTCTTTCTGACTAATGTCTCACTAGTTGATCTTGCTTTAGTTTGTGTCAGTCTCAAGTTTTGTTGCCCTGTCCATGTGTTTCAGCCTCAGAAGTTACTGATAGTGGGGAACCTGTCATGGTAGAAGCTAGCTTGGAGGGATCTTCTCTGAATATATATGCTTGCAGGGCGAACACTGGAGGGGCCTGGTATAACTATTATTCCATTATCTTGTAGATTTCTTCCCTCTCCTCCCCTCCCTTCCCGTCCCCTCCCCTTCTTTTTCCTTTCCTTCCTTGACAGTGTCTTACTCTATAGCTCTGGCTGTCCTAGAACTCAACATAGACCAGGCTGGCTCTGTACTCATAGATATCCTCCTGCCTCTGACTCGTAAGTGCTGGGATTAAAGATGTGCACTACCACACTTGGTTGGAACATGTTTTTAAACTATAGCTTTGGGCTTCTTACGATGTTACAGTTCCTAATTCTAGTTCTTAGGCCATAGAATCTGGTGATTTTTGGCATGGTTGACTAGTTGCAGCTTATTTAAAAAGTTAATCATATGAGTAGGCAGTATATGGATATAATAAAATTCCAAATGTTGTAAGAGTATACAATGGAAAGGAAGGTTTTCCACCGTCATAGTAGCATGCTGAGCAAGCCCGGCCAGATCTTTGCTCTCACCTGGCCTTCTAGCCTGATTCTGTCTCCTAAGGAAAATAGTGTATGTGTGTGTGATGTGCATAGATAGGTACACTTAAATGCTTCATGCTGTTGTGTAGTGCAGAGTTCTGGGCAACGTGTCCTGGTAAAGGTTCTCTGTTCCTTTGCATTGATTTGTGTCTTCCCCCCTTTGAATAACTGTATCATATTTTCTTCCTGTATAGCTATGCTTTGGATTGTTGATCATTTCCTGCAAGAGGAAACTGTGACCCAGGTTTGTGAAGGACTTGCTCAAATGAGTCTGGAGGCAGAAGAAGCAGGCAGTCACCCAGGAGGGCCAGAGTGGTGTGAAGATGGCTTTTCTTGATCGTTTGGCTCTGAGATGCAGTCGTAAACTTTCAGAAGGAAGGCTGCCACTCTCAGTTTCTGACACTCTGTCAGAAACTCTCAGCCTGGTCTTTTTAAGATTTGCCAGAAGATGAAATACTTGCTTCCGAGGGTCTCCAGACTCCCTGGTGTATCACTTCAACAGCACAGATATTTTAACATCAGTTTTTCCACATCAAAGCTTTTGCTGGTAGTGTTCTGTAGTGTTTACTTGACTGGCCGTGCCAAAGGTTTTAGTTCCCTCAGAGGCTGGAGCTGTGTGTGTCCTTTTCTTTAACATCTATGTCACGCATGCCTTAGTGAGTGGTTGAGAGTGTGTTAATTGTGTTTTAAGATGGGAGTCGAGCTCTGGTATTGATTCTCTCAAGAGTAGACTACTAGGCGGTCTTAACAGATAATTAGTTTCTTGTATGTTCCAGAAAATTCCCCAGTGTTCAAGAAAAAGCCTGCAACTGTGTCTGTTAAGTGTCAGTAGATATGCTAGATAGCCAAAAGGCAGAGGCATACTAAGACTTGGCAGAAGACTCCCACCACCCACTCTCCTTGGTGTTGGTCCAGGAGAGGCTGCAGGGAGCCTGTCAGAGCTGCAGCAGCAAGCAGCCTCTGGGGCCAGCCTGCTGTGTCCCAGTGGAGGGAAGTAGCTGTAAGAAAGGCAGGTCTGGCAGTGTCAGACAAATTGGAAGGCCGCTGGACCATCGGCAAGCACATTCCCTTTAGATCTGTGTTCCAGAGAGAGATGGTCTCACTCATCAGCTGCCATGTCTTCCAAGTAGGGGAAAAATACCAAACATGTTTATTTTTTAGCTTCTTCAAATATTTATATTTTCTCTAGTAATTTTTCTGAAGTATTCTGGCTCGTTTATTTTGCTGATAAACAACTGCTGTTCAGAGTTTTTGTCTGGTAGTCTGTGAGGTAGTTTCTAAATGGGTCTGTTTCTTCAAAGGTGATTGACAAGTGTTCCTTACAGATCCGTGCGTGCCAAGGTAGGGAAAATTGGGTTTCAGTAATTGGCAGTCTACTCTGACTTTGAAAACTACATTTAAAAATTAGGTACCCTAAGGAGCCCAGTGGGAGGAGAGATGCTTCCCTTGTCCATTCAGCCTGACCAAAGGGCAGGCTTCCTGCTTCTTCCCACTGCTCCTCTAAGCCTCTCCTCAGCCTCTTTATCCCCTCCTGCTCCTGCTCATTTCCCTGCCTCCACTTACAGCATCATTTCTTTCCCCCTCTCCTTCTCCCTGTGGCTACACTGAGATAAACCTGCCTACTACTCTGTCCCCTGCCCTCAGCTCTGCCATTGGGGCCCTTTGATTCCTTGGCTGTACCGTCTTTGCTTTCCTAGGGGTTTTGGTCCCTGGGCAGCTCTTCCTCTGCTTATAGTAACTGAGGCTTTTTTTTTTTGTTTTTTTT